AAAAAAAAAAAAAAAAAAAATTAGTTTTATATTAAAAAGGGTAAAACTGTCTTTTTGGGGGGCGGTAATAATTAAAAAGGGGGGCGGTATTTAACAACACCCTAGATTAATGACTTACAAACAAGGATTTAGACTAGAGAAATTGAACGAACTTGAACGTTGCGTAGACTATGAGCTAGCTAAGGACGCTAGTGAGTGACATGTATCCCTATGCAACATCTCGTCTTTTTATGATAAGACCGGGTGGATAGTCACTTTATCAGTTTACTTTGTCGTTTCTTGTTTACACTGCAGAGGGATCGATAATCTTCAGTGGAAGGTAAAAGTTATTTTTAGAAGATCGAAACTCAGGCCTAAATGTAGATCGTGAGGGGACCCGTAGGGTGTCTTCGTGGAGTGTTCTTTTATGTAGTTCAGGCCTAGTTCACAATAGGCCTAATTCTTGTACTCCTTGGCTTGATGTGCAAGCCCAGAGAACATGTGCTTTTTTTTATGTACAACAATGAGGCCCCTAAGTTTCCGGGCGTATAGGGAAGTTATTTACTAATATTGAACCGTGCGCGGATCTCTTTACGCGATCGTCAACTCTTTGAAAAGGACGGTGTCAGTTACATTGGCAGGAGCTGGGACATGGTAAGGCGCCTTCTCAACGAGAACACTAAATGAGGAGGGATAGAGAACGTTTTCAGATAAAATGTGCGTCTTTTCAAACATGAAACGACGGTCGTTGATTCGCGGCTCCTGACGTAAATGGATGTGACCTTTGGACTTTGTGTATTAACGCGGTCGGGTGTAACGATTGCCTGCAGAAGAACCATTTGATCTCGGTGAGATAGATATTTTCCAACTTCCGAGCACGCTAAAGGACCTTGGCATAGTGAAGGAAACATATAAAGTTCCCGAATCAATAAGGATGTTTGTGCCGTATGAGAACGAGTGGACCCATTGTCCGACGTCGGGGTGTATCGTCGTTCCTAGAGAATCCATGCTTTCGGCGTTGAGGTTCTCTCTTCCCTATGTTTTTTCGAAATACCTGCGAGAATGGGATATCAACGTTACTCAAGTTCGCCCAAATACGATATATCTATTGTGCTCCTTGATCGTCCCGTTTAAGCAAAAAGGTTGGTCGGCACCGCCCGTAGAGGAATTAGACTCTATTTATACGTGGAAGGCATAGAAGGAAGAATCGAAATATTTTCATTTGGCACCACGCGACGATAAGTACGCCACTTGGTAAAAGATATACTTGAATCTCGTCATTGGTGGAAACATGAATAGTTTTGGGTGTCAGGAGAGTGAAAAACTCGGCCATCATCGGACAATTTTTCATATGTGCCTACAACTCTTGTGGAGAGAATACGTGAGTCTTCGCAGCAGAGAAGGTTGCTCTGCTCTTGGGTTTGAGATTCAAGGGTAGACTGCAGATTATTTTTGTTGATGATTCTTGAGAGGAGTTGCCGATCCTTAACCGAAAGCAAAGATTATTTTCCATCTCTAATACTAATCAATTTTTTGTGACTTAGACTTAAATTTTAGCAATTGCAGTCATCGGACATCAAGATGATTGGTCACAAATGACAATAAAACCCAGGAATGATGGTGCCATTGCATAAAAAATAAAAAACAATGTAAGAAGCCATATTCAATAATGGAAACATCCCTAGTGTCACGGCTCGGCTGCCATCTGAAAAGCATCGTCAGTAATTACAGTTGCCAACGATCATAATTGCTATCCTACATTAGAAAATGTTGGCTGTTAGCAAAGTCTGGCACTGTTACTTCACAAAATATGGAGACTCTCAAACCACCCACAAAGCCCCCAAAATTCAGCATACCTGATCCAAAAGCCAAGTCATAGAGCGCAACCAATTATTTGACGAATCAAACATTAGAATCAACATAAAATGTACTTGTATAAAGAGTTGTCGAGAAACGCCAACACAAGATCAAATCATTAAAATTTAAAAATAACTCACAGGAGTTTCCCATAAAGACTCTATACTCGGGTATTTTTCAAGTTAGCCAATGCTTCTTTCAGATTTGCTAATTCATCCAGTGCAATTCTGATAGGATCCTTTAGCTTGCTCATCTTGGGCTAGAAGGATACCGGAGAAAAGGCAAAAACATCATAGTCAAGGTTTTGCTCGAGAAGCTTGACAAAGCAAGAGCATCAATCATCCTAATTGGTGCTACTTGGATTTTGGTACTCAAAGAGTTCACAATGAATAGTATGAAGTGGCATCAACAAGAGAGGTAAAGAATATATAAAAACTTGTACTGGATTATTCTGCAAAACAATATATTTCATATTTTTCAAACAAAGTACAAAAACCCAAACACAGTTCAAGTTTCTCTAAATTATTCCATGTAGAACAAACGATTAAGAACTAATCAATTAACCGACACCATTCACTTCAGGAGATGCACACAGCACACATTCTTCACCAATTTACACCATCATTAGCAAAAGGAATTATGGAGATTGGCTCTTTGCAAGGTGCATTCAAACCACTCAACATGCAGATTTCATTTCTTTACCAATTCGACAATAAAACGTTATTTGTTCATTCGCAAACTTACAAATGTAGGGGAGATTAACTGCTAAGCATTTTCAGAATTGATAGAAACAGGGAATCAAGTATTCCCTTTCTATTTCTAACTAAAATCGACATAGTTACAAGTACCTTGAGCGCGGGGATGAGAGCAAAGACTTCATCCACTGATTCGGGGCATATGTTAACAATCATGCAAATCTGAGGTCACAAAATTCAATTAAAATTTGCATGGATAGAAGATCATAAAAGTAGCATTCCAGTATGAGTACCTCGCTTTCAGAAACACCATGCTTCTTCAGAGGCCTAATCTGAGTTAAAGGCACACAATTTATTACAAGAACAGGCATGAAAATATCTTGCAAATGTTCCCTAATAGATACAATTAAAATTCAACTGGTACTATATAAAAGGATACTCGAATATTTTCTTCACTGTCTCAGGCTTTGCAGGATTTCCGCTTCTCTTTGCATATGTCAATCCCATATCGAAGGACCTTAAGCAAAAATAGAACCCATCACTTGAACTTGAACTTTTATGTTATAGCATGCAATTCAAGGGAATCAGAATGGAAGTAAGAACTGACTAGGAAATGAAAGCTTTAACCTCTGCCACTCACCCTGGAAGTTTTATGTCTGGATCTTGAGACAATATAACCATTTGATCTTGGATGCTTTGCAAGATTTCCGCGGCTTCACAGTCCATTAAACACTGGGAACTTGGAGGAAGCTCTGCACAATAACATCAATCATTTTAGGAAGACACAGTATATAACTAATTGAACTCACATGCCAAAAATAGTCATTCTTTTCATTTTTATATATACTACAATCTGGCAGAATCTGGTGCCACTAATAAATCTATGGTTACTACCACGAGAAGCCAAAGCAATAGACCTGCTAGATATAATAAGCTGTCATCAAAATTAACTTTGTCAGAGATCACAGTGAGAATTTTAGGTTTTTCAAAGTTACCATTAATGTGCTAACGTCAATTACATTCGAAATCAACAGGAACAATCCACTCACTCAGAAAGTCCCCGTACTTGTCAAATTATTGAAAAAGATAAATGAGATAAGTGGATATGTGGATGCATTAACCTTGCTCGAGCTTTTGCTCTACTGAAGATGCTTTTCCAGAGGTTTTCTTAGAGCCTTTTGCAGTCTTGCCTCCTTTGCCACCTTCACCCAAGTCATATCATATAATTTAGTTTAGGCATTTATAAGACAATCATAATCAAACTCACATGTCCCATTAGAGCACATCCCTCGGTTGCACATAACATGTAAATAAAAGGATTGAGAGTCAAACCTTTCGCAGCTGGTGGGTCAGCCTTCCCATTAGACTTCGGACTATTTGTTTCAAGTGAATCTATAACATTGCAGTAAAATATAGATTATAAAAGAAACAAAATTTTGTTGACAAAAATCCAGTATTTATCTTTAGCTGAGGAAGTTAAATACATAACAAATAGCAGAAGAAGGTGAGTCCTATACAAATTCAACCTTCGGAATCAAACTGAACTGTCTTCTCTTTTCCTTTCCTTGACTTTCCAGAGCTTTCACCATTTCCAACTGTTTATGTTGTGCAATGAAATATTAAAAGGGATAAAAAGTACAAAACACACATTTAAAAAAGTCAAGAGTAATGTAAAAAAACAGATAAATACAATGGTGAGAGGAACCAACTACACTAATTCATATGACACTATCACATTTGGAGGACAGGCACATCAGTGTTTATACAACAATAGCATCTGTAGCATACAACTAATTGCCATCATAAAATAATGAAAAATGCTACATTGCCGACCTAGTCTACAACTAAGTTGACAACACAAGTGTAAACATCCACTTGTGTATTTTTTTTATTTTTAATTTTATGAATGTTTTCACTTGTGTTGTCAACCTAGTTGTACACTAGGTTGGTTATGTAGCATTACTCTAAAATAATTGATCTGACATGATAATGAGATGGCAGCCTGGCACATAGAGTTAAGAAGAAGGATCAGCATTAAACAGGTGTTGCAAAGTAAATATTTCACGGCCTCCATTAATAACATACTTTCAAGATAAACAAGCTAGAAGATCGAAGATAATGAGACGATCCATAGAAAAACTAACCCGAATATACAAAAACAAGGTATTTCTAAGATGTAAAAACATTAAGGAAACCCCCCAACATCTTGAAGATACAACAACATAGCCTTTTAGTCCCAAAACAAGTTGTGGTAGGCTAGAGATGAAACCCAAGAAAACCAATGTTAAGAGAAACACAAAAAGGGCTAAAAAACAAAAGGAAAAGACTGGAGCAAAAGAGAAAGGAGCAAAAGTCACGGTTCTGGCACGTTGATTGCTAGCCTCCAAACGCTCCTATCCACCGCTAAATTCTTGGAGATATTCCAATCTTTAAGGTCCCTCTTAACCGACTCTTCCCAAGTGGGTTTAGGCCAACCTTTATCTCTCTTTACATCATCGACCCGCTGTAGAACTCCCCTACGCACCGGTGCATCGGGAGGCCTCCGTTGGACATGTCCAAACCACCTCAGCCGATGTTGAACCAATTTCTCCTTTTATTATATTGTTGGAAGAAAAACAGATACTTACTCTATATCCTTTACAAATGCAAAGAGGAAAAACCATACATAAACGGGGGAACTTCACATAAGTAGTCAGACATCAAGCATGTACCAAGTACAAAACACTAAACTTTACCATACATAAGAATGATAAACATCAACCTCTCTCAGCCAGAGTAAATAAAGAGAAACATCAATTCACTCAACACAGAACAGTCACTCAAAATTCAGACAAACATACGCGATAACAGCACACATTAACTGGAAAAAAAAAAAACTAGATTGTAAGAGTTTGTGAGGAAACGAATGAATACCCGATGACTTCAGAGAAGATTTCCCCCCTTTTCCTGACATTCTTCTTCCCTTGAAGGACCTAAAAAAGCCGCAAAAACAACACTTAAAACACATGGACTTCCCCAAATCATGTTTTCGGGAGCCTCGGCATACACATACCAGTACAAAAAAGAGCCAGATTGATAATTTCGAAAGGAGAACATGAATTCAACCAAACCCCAGACAAAAATAAGAACTTCCCCAATTTTCCACCGGAAAAAAATTCCGGCGAGATCCAAATGTAGAAAGAGAAAAGGAAAGAAGAAAAGGAAAAGGAAAACACAGTATCTTGCATGCATAAATTCTTACGGATAAGGGAAGCGGACGCCGGGGCTATGGTGGTCCACAGCAGTAGTCAGTAGTGTGGTGCGTGAAGTTTGGGGTTTGCCTCTTCTAATGTTTGGGAATAAATACAGTATAATTCTAGTTCTAGTGAGTGCCTGTAATTCGAAAGTAGAGAAAATTGCAAAACTAGTCCCATATGATTAGACAAGTTGAATATTTGGCCCAATAAATTGCAAAATTGGTTTTTTATTTATTATTATTATTATTATTATTATTATTATTATTTGGTACAATGAAGGAGACCGAAGCCTAGATTAGTATTCGACGAGGATAAGACACCCCTATAATATCATGTTCTAACCAAACTCCCCTTCTTCGAGCGGGGAGGTTAATCGTTGATGAAAGATATTTATTTTGGCATTAGTTCGAAGGTTCTAACAAGCACCTGGAACTACAGAAACAGGGAAGATCTTTGCTTATTTGTTTCCTTAATTACGATTATTTTATATTCCATAAATAAGATATTATGGATCTTATTATGGTACTTTGATTTGTAGGAAATCGGATGAGATAATGAAGGGAGAGGCGTGTATGATAAAGAGATCAAGGAGAGAGAGAAGAAGATTCACTTACCAAATTCTAATGCTATAATCAAGGAAAGAAATCAAGGTTGGAGTCCTATGCCTTGTAGAAGACTCCAACCCTAAGGAGATTCTTTTAAATACCCGTATGCAAGCTCTCATTGCGGCTGCTGAGTTTTGAAGATTTATAGAGCAATAATTGAGCTTCGTGTTTTCTGATTTTATTGAGTTGTACACAGTTCAGTCTGAGAGTTCGAACTAGCTCAAGGACTGAAGCTGTTTTATTTTGTTCTTTGTGTTTCGTCCAAAAAAAACTATTTTACAGCTTATACACTTAGGGAGTAAGTGTAGGTTTTTAAAAGTCCACGGGACGTGGCCGGAGAATTAGTTGATAGGATCTGTGTAGTGTTGGCTAGGCTTGAAGGGAGTTCGAGTCGTTGTAAGTCCAAACTATGTGTATGATTGATCTATCAATGAAAGAGCTCTGAGGGGAAGTGGGA